TAAAATAAAATAAAAAAGCACTAATCTACGGAAGAGGATTAGGGCCACTGAAAAAAAAGAAAAAAAGTTAACAGATTTTTTTTATTTTATTTCAGTATAGTATGGGAAAAAGTCAGAATTCTGACTTTTTTCCCATGTTCAACTGAAATAAAATTTAAAAATCAGTTAACTTTTTTTTCCCCAGTGGCCCTAATCCTCTTCCGTACTAATCCTCTTTATCAGCAAAAAAAAAAATAAAGGTGTAGACCTGCGGAACTTTTCCTAATGCAGACATACAAGAAAATAATAATGACACTGTTTTTTTGGAGTTACCATATTTTCACGACTATAAGGCGCACTTAAACGTCTTTATTTTCCCTAAAAATGTGCGGTGCGCCCTTTGGTGCGGTGCGCCCTATGTGTGATGTAACTGCGACTTTTGAGACCACCTCATTGAGGAGATGATGAAAGAGTGGCTGAATGTAAGGAGACCAGGTGTTTTTTTTTTTCACTCATCACCATCGCTGTTAATATGTAACTCCATGCGTGCCCATCTCACAGCTGATGTGAAAAACATGGGGAAACAAATTAACGCTGTGCTCGCTGTTCAACCGCTCGACATCGGTGTGAACCGGACCCAGCAGGTGCAGCAGAAGCAGCGAGTTTACATGCAAAGTCAATGGTTGACGAGCGTATAGGCGCAGCAAAAGGTCCCGCAGCGCGTTTTGAGCAGCAGGCACTGCGCGTCGGGAGCGTTTAAGCATCTGACGCACCGCCAACGCGCTGCTGCTGCTCGAGATGGAAAAATTGAAGTTTTGCTGCTGGACGCGCCGCATCAACCAATCAGAGAAGCTGATCTGGGAGCTGACAGAGAGACAGACACAGCGCTCTGATGACATATGATATTAACGCAAATGACAAGGGCTGGATGGATGAGGAGATGATGAAAGCGTGGCTGAGGCAGGTGTATGTGAGGAGAACAGGTGTTTTTTTCCACGCATCACCATCGCTGTTAATCTGTGACTCCATGCGTGCCCATCTCACAGCTGATGAGAAAAACATGGTGAATCAAATGGATGCTGTGCTCGCCGTTATCCCGGGAGGTCTGACAAAGGAACTTCAACCGCTCGACATCGGTGTGAAGCGGCCGTTCAAAGTAAGGCTGCGAGCGGCGTGGGAGCGATGGATGACAGACTGAGACCACAGTTTCAGGATAAGTGGAAGGCAGCGCCGGGCAAGTTACGCCACCGTTTGCGGATGGATTGTAGATGCTTGGACTAACGTGTCTGCTGGCTCTGTTGTTCAAGCTTTCGCAAAAGCTGGCATTATTTCTGAGGAGCCGCGCTGCACGGAAAGTGACTGACAGCGAAGAAGGGGAAATTGGCATGTCTGATTTAGCGCAGCTGTTTAATTCAGAAACAGAGGATGATGACTTTGATGGGTTTGATTAATACTTTGTAATAAATACATGAATAAAGCACAAACATACTCAGTTTTGCTCCCGCTCTATTTTTCTACCTGAAAACTTAATTCAACAGCAGCCTCTGGGCGGGTCTCCTCCGGTTTCACCGCGGCGGCTGGCAGGTGTTTTTTCATCTAAATAATCTAAATCTTGCAGCTATATTTGCTGTGATCAGTGGGAATAAAGTAGTTTTAATATGTTTTTTAAGTGAGAAAGTCCACCTGAAAACTTAATAATTGCAGTCAGTTCATCCAGATTATCTATTTCTGTCAGAGGCGCTCAGAACCCCACATACCAGCGGTGCACCGACAGCAGAAATCCCTTCAACAGCAGCCTCTAGGCTGGGCAGCCTCCAGGTTCACAGCGGCTGCTGGCAGGTGTTTTTCATCTAAATAATTTTAGCTGCAGGCACCAGGATACTGGTAATAAAAGCGAACATATTCCGTCGGCAGGTTTCAGGATTTTAAGTTAATTTAGGAGTGACCACAGCGCTGTGTCATCTGCGATGTGTCTGTCTCACGGCCAGCACCCAGGTTTGATTAATACTTGTTAATAAATACATGAATAAAGCACAGTTATACTCAGTTTTGCCCCCGCTGTATTTTTAAATACGCAGTAGAGGTATTTAAAGGTAGTAGAGGACATGTACCTGTATATAAAAAACGCGCCCTATAGTCCGGTGCGCCTTATGTGTGTGTTAAATACAGAAATGGGACACATAACTGAGAGTGCGCCTTTTAGTCCCGTGCGCCTTATGGTCGTGAAAATACGGTATGTAAAAAAGTTCGTATAGCTGATGCATCTGCAAAAGTGAGGTTGCAATTTGGACGATAAGCGAACGCTAGCTGTTATTAGCTTGATAGACATGGACAGAACAATGATGAGGATCTCTCCATCAGCTCTCCTTAACAGATGGACATCCCAGAAGAACAGTTCTGAACCACGCAACACTTTTTTTCTGCTGTGGTACAAATCAATGAAGGAATATTTATTTCAGCTGATGCTTAACTCTGATGACAAAGAGGGAAAAAGAAATAAACAAACACTGATGCATCTCTTTCCTTTACTCCCCTTTTTAGTTGTTAAGCTTTGGAGGCAAATGGAAGAATATAGTGAAACATGTAACAGTATAATATAAAAAAAATAAAGGTATTTCTAAATCAAAGGTACTTATTTCCATACAATATATTAATGATTATACTGTTAGTTATTTGGTGTACTGTTTAATTAAACAGGGAACTAACAAATTTATAAGTTAACTAACTATAAGTAATAAATTATATATTTCTGTTGAGCAATTCTGTGGAGGAACAAAGCACCAATTTACTTATATGCACAAATTCATTGAAATAAATGGTAAAACATTTTTTGCAATGTTAGGTCTTTGTTTAAATATCACATGTATTTCATTTTTCACACTTCATAACATAGCTGATCTTCATATTCTTTAGATATTTATGCATTTTAAACCCCTAAAATGAACCTTTTACTGATTCAAGTATTAAGCAATTTCTGCTTAAAATTTTATTTCTGTCAGTTTTCATCCTCCATTGTTTAGAAGAGAAAGTGACACCCTCTTCCATCCAACGAAAAAGGAAAGCAGTCCATGCTAAGGAAACAAAGTGACGCCGCATGTGCTTGGCTGTAGCTCTTTAAATCCCTTTTTTCAGACAAATGTATACGGTCAAATAAAACTATTTAAAAAGGGAGCTTCCCTTTTGAAATTAATTACATTTTTTGTCAGTGCAACAAAGATGCATCAAACCAACTGAATTTATACTTGAATGCATGTGTTTCCTCCACCATTAATTTTCCCTTACACCCTCTGCCAAATTTGTGCAAGCCTGCACTGATGCAGACTCACTATTTAAGGGCTGGACGGGCCATTCCCCCTACTCACTACTTGGATTGGGACGGCCCTTATGTGGCGGACCCTCCGCGGGAACGTGCAAATGAACGGTTAGTGCTTAGGGTTAGTGCCTGATATTGGGCCTCATGCTGCAAACTAGTTGCAGAGAACTGAGGACCCATTGACAAAGACCAAAGAGGCAGCCTGTAGGAAATCTGACGTTATTAAGGAATCTTGCTGCCGTCGCTGTGATTAAAGTGGGATGTTATTTGCGACCCTTTGGAGCCCTTTGGATTTTCATCTGGACTTTGAAAATGGCTGCATTGATGTAAATAATATTCTTGGGATAATATTCTATGTACATTTATGTGATTTACAGGGGAACATTTTTTGCACAAGCTGGGAAAGGTCTATGAAATTTATGTTTAAATATTTGGGTTATATCTTGCCTGTACTTGTCCTAAATAAGAGAATAGGGATTATATTTGTGATATAAATAATTATTTTTTTGCTACTAACCCAATTTATTCTGCCTCCACATGATTTTAATGGTTGATTTTTATCTTTGATTTTATTTGCACTGTGTAGCACTTTGAGATTTTTGTTAATGACCACATGATTTTAATGGTTGATTTTTATCTTTGATTTTATTTGCACTGTGTAGCACTTTGAGATTTTTTCTTAATGAAAAGTGCGGTACAAATTGGATTTATTATTATTATTATTAATTTAACTGTGCCTTGTAATAATGTCTCAACAGTAGTGAAAATGTTGTATAATTGTGAGTTTTTCTCCTGGTATTGGAATAAAGTTGGTTGTTTGTTTTTGTTTTTTTTATAAAATAAGAAGATATTATTTTTCAAAAACAACCAGGTCACATTCATGTTTTGTCCACATTTGGCTGATCGACAGAAACCAATCTCAGATTTTTATTGTTTTTTTTTATATAACTGCACGTTACAAGAAAATATAAATTTATTTCAATTTAACTATTCCTACTTATGTTAGAAAAAAACATGCTTTCTCCAGAGGCTATCTTTTTTTCCCAGTGATTACCCTGATGCCATGTTCCTGCCTACTAAGTACCTGTATCAAAGTAAAAGGTTTTTGTTTCAGCAAAAAGCCACTGAGTCCACTCTATGACCTGATTTCTATGTACTTGCCTCCATCTGAGTGAGGTTGCTGTAAGTTAGCCTGCAGCTCCTGTAACCAAACAGAAGGCTAGTACCATATGAAGAGTTTTTTTTTTTTTTTTTGCCCCAAGCTGAAACATTACACAACGTCATTTGGAACACAGCCTGTTCTGAGCCAGGAGTGGGAAAGGAGGCCGAAATCTAGGATTGGCATAAAGACAAAAGAAACGGGGAGAAAAAAGAAAAAAACAATCAGAGAATTTAGCAAATAAGTGTTGTACCATCTGTTGTGAAACAGCTCCTAGGATGTCACCCTACATTGAGCCGCAAGACCATTTGGATCCCACTCATTTAGTTTGCCTCAAAATGCACTGGGGAGTGAAAAAGAAGCTGGTGTCCAAACAATTTCACATCTGCTAATTGTGAGCTACACTGATCCACCAGATTTCCACTCCAGTATGGTTAATGCGCTACAGGGTAGAGACAAGACTCAGAGATGCATTAGAACAATTCAAAGGTACTTCACTCATTCTGCCACAAAAACAGCTTATTTAAAGAGTTTTATTTGGCTTCTCACCTTGGTTGTTTTTAATGGTGAAATTAGGGTTGTTGAGCATCTCCGGCACCAGACGATAGTCAAAGTAGTGGCCCTGGATTGGGTCGTCTTTGTCTACAGCGCTGACAGTCTGAATCACCTGTGTTGAATACAGACAAGAGGAAACAGCAGATAGAGCAAAGCCATTAGAGAGCACAGCCTACTCAGTCTGTATTTTTCATTTCAGAACACTTCTTTATTATGGTGGTTAAGGCAAACCTGATGAAATATGCACAGAAAGTTAGATATTTACTTTTACTGTAAAATTAAAGCCAAAAAAAAGACAACTCTCACTAAATCTCCCCAGAATGCGTCAGTTTGGTCTGTTATGATAATTTTTTTTTGCAAAATATTGAGAGCAGAGGAGTCAAAAGTACTCGCATACTTTACATAAGTGAAAATAAAGAGTAAAAAAAAAGAGAAAGTAAAAGTAATGATTAAACTTCTTTGCTTCAGTAAAAAAAAAAATAAAATCAGGTTCTAAATTGTACCTGAATACAAAAGTAAAAGAGTTTTGTATGGTTATAGATAATAATATAATATATAATTATATAATATATATAATTATAGAAAATAATAAATATTACATTATAAAAACAGTTTTATATACAAAAATAAAGTTTTCCTCTTTTGCTCTCTATATTGGTAGAGAAAACATAAATAAGAAATAATAAATTCCAATTTCAGACAGAATAGTATAGAATGAACTGAACAGTTGAGTAATTTTAAAGCTCTGGTATTCGCAGCATTAAAGTTACCAACACCATTAAAATTGAAATAGAACTTAAAAAATGATCAATATGCATATTTAAAATCTAATCTTGTGTGAGTCTCCTCTTGATTTTCTATCTATGTAGATATAATATGTATAGAAGTAATGGCTAGTTTACAAAAAGTTAGGGGTAAAAAGTTTAGATATTTTGTCCAAATAAAGGAAATGAAAGTCAAAAAGCTTGTGGAACAATAAATATTCAAAGAAACGATTTAAAAAAAGTAACTAAGTATTTATACTTGGTTACTTGACTGCTCTAATTGAGGAAGCAAGTTTGCAAACGCACGCAGAGGCAGAGACGTACATATTTGAAGACGAGTCAGGTGTCTGATGCAGGAGAACCCAATCCCCTCTGACTATCATTGGTCATGTTTGATTTAAATCAGTGTTTAAAAGAGAATTTTACCCAAAATTTTGTGAATGTCTGTCAACTTCTGAATATAAAGAGCAAAAAAAAAAGTTTCTCTAAAAAATGTTTTATCAGGTTTTTAAAAAAATATATATAAATCTTTTAATAATATTGTAACGATCTTGTTTCTGTTGTTTTTCTCTAAGTTTTCAGTTTCAAGTTTAGCCAGGTTTTTCCTTGTTTTCTAGCTTTATTGGTGTGTCTGGATTCATTTAAGTTGCTTAGGTTTTTCTGTCTGTCCTCTGCTGCCCCCTTGTGTTCTTTTCCCTCTGCTTCCTCTTCAGCTCTAGTCACACCTGCTCCTTATCAGCTTGTTAGTCCTACCTTTGTTCACTCAGCCATAAATACACTCCCTCTGCAGTCCCTCTTTGCTGGTTCCTTGTCTTATTTTATCCTACCCTGGCTCCTCATGACCTCATGACCATTCTTATGTTTTTTTTTTTTTGGATTTCTGTTTTGATTTACAGTTTTAAGTTGGATTTTTGGATTCCTGTTTTTCCTGCCTGATTTTCCATTAAACCTCCAAAGAACTCACCCCTGCCTGTCAGCTTCTGCATTTGGGTCCTCATAAAAACCTTAAAACCAAATCCTGACAGATATAAAGTCTTCCCTGTAAGATTTTAGTCTGATTTAATGACAGATTGAGGAAAGCATGTAAGTTGTACAAAGGTGTACAATATATCAAAAGAATTGTTTCAGCTGTAGACTTGAAACTCAAGATTTTATAATGTCACCTTTTATAATGTCATGCACAAAAATCTATCTCGCTCAGTCCCATTTAGTTTGATTCAGCATAAGCTCCATCTTTTGATTGGATTAATAAACGCTGACTTAAAAACTGGAACTAAGCATTCAAGAACTGAAAAACAACAAAAAATTTAGGGAGATCTGCCATCACCCTCTAAACATTTGATAATGTTGTAAATGAGCCAAAATACATGCACCCAAGTACCATAGAACAGCGGTCCCCAACCACCGGGCCGACCGTTACCGGTCCGTCGGTCATTTGGTACCGGGCCGCACAGAAAAAAGTATATTTATAATTTATCGACGATCAGAGTCTGAGTGATGTTTTATTTTGAAAAATATAAAAAATTGCGGTATTCTCTCCCAATTACATCAGTCGGTGCATCTGTGCCTCTTGACATAAGTTAATTCAGTTTAAGACTCATCCTATCTTTGTGAAGCGGGATTTTCTGCGGTTACAGCGACCAAAACAAAGCTATGGAGCAGACTGGACATCAGGAGCACACTTCATTGTCTCCGATTACGCCTAGATGGGACCGGCTTGTTGTTTTATTTTTATGTTGTTTGTATTTGATGTTATGCAAGTCGTATCATTTTACTTGATCTGTGAAAATATTGTCTGACATATAGCGGTCCGTGGTGCAAAAAAGGTTGGGGACCGCTGCCATAGAATATATCCAATGACTTAAATGTTGTTCAAATGAGCTAATAACTGATTGAAATTATGATTTCCTCACCTCGAAATGTTACTTGCCTGAAACTGAAAGCGACTTACTGAATAATATTTCTAAAAAAATAATCTTACATCTTGTCAGCACTGATAAGGGGGCAAGGTTTTATTCCAAGACTAAAGTAATATTAGAGAACATTAAATTTCACACCCACAATACAAAAACACTATTCAGATCAAACGTGACTCACATACTTTAGACGACAGGGCTCGATGCTCCATAAAATCACCTTTATTATCCATAAAAATACACATTTTTTAAAACACTGGCCAACATTAAAAGGGAGAAACCGGGATCAGCTTTTTGTTTTCCCCCAAAACATTTGACTCCTTGTTAATCCAGTGTTGTCTACATTTTCTCGTGACCTGTATGTATCCTCACACCTCTGCTATTTATTCCTGAAGTATCTTACCTGAGAGGTCCTTTCTAGCTACCACTTTCAGGCTCCTGCATCTATTAATCTGTCATCATGGGTCCTACCAGGTTGTACGTCCTGATGATTGATTGGAAATTTAAATTCAGGACCTGCAGGACAGTTTTTCTTTTTCTCTGCTTCCTTTTTTCTCCCCCTTTGAATAAAGCTCCCTATTGTACGTACACAGTTCCACTGAATGAGGGCGATTGATGAGAAGGAGAATACTAAGTACTTGTCCAGGATTTTTGGCTAGGGAAAGCATTGTGCCATCTGGAGGTAGACATGAAAGACAGTTTTGAATTATGATCCCCTCCGATCAATCCTGACTGCGCTCATTTTCCCTTCGCTTCGTGCGCACTGTGTCGAGGGAGGCCTGTTTTAGAGAAAAAGGTCTGTACTCCCACCTCTGTGGTTTCCCAGCGAAATAAATAGGCTATAATTCATTGTGGCCAATCATTACAGGGGAGGAGAGGGAGAAAGAGAAGAAGGACAGAGAGTAAGAAAGTGATAGATTGCTGCTTTGATGAATGAGTCATTTCTTTCCTTACCTGTCCAGGTTTTCCATTTTCGCACAGAAAGGCCTCGTATTCGGTGGCAAACTCAGGGGCATTGTCGTTAATGTCCATTACTCTGATGGCCACAATTGCTCTTGATATCTGACTGTGGTTTCCTATTATAGTTCAACAGACAGATGAATGGATAGAGAGAGATAGTATAGAAGAGGAGTAAAAGAAAAGTAGTAATGAATAAGCAGGAAACGGCAAAGAGGCTAAAAACAATGTTCTACATAAAATCAGGTAGATTTTTGCTTTATTTGCCATCTTTGTTTCTTCTTTTTCCAGTTTATAAAAGGACAAATGACAAGACATTTATCTCTATTTTAGCAAATACCAACAACGCCCAGAGCATGAACGCAACAGAACTGAGTGAAAGTGATTTGAAAATGGTTTCGATAATCCCCTGTACACTGTAATGTTTAAAACATGAGGGTTAAAATCATGCATATTAATGAACCATTTGTAACTGAAGTTGAAGAAGAAAAAAAAAACAAGAAAAGGCCATTTAATCAGATGAGACTTCTAGAGGAAATATTCATCACTGATAACTGACAGTCGCTTTCAAGAGGCCCTGTGAATTTATTTATTCATCACTGGTGCAATTGGCAACTTTTCAAGCCGTTAATTATTCGTTTAACCCCAAGAAAGCTTCTCCACTGTAGCCAATAAAACTTTTCTCCCTTGTCATTGTTTCATAGTTTTTTTCTTTTTGGGTTATTTTTTTTTTCTGTTTCCTTTTAACCTCTCTGTGTGTTTAGCAATGATAGATTTAGAAAAGGTGGCATTTTTTTGCGGAAATCTCTGAGTTTATGAATGACTTTAGTGGAGAATAAAGTTCATACTAAAGTCAGGGCTAATCGGCAGTTGAAAAAGGGCCAACACTGCAAAAACCATCGAGAAATAACTACAAAATGTCTTAAAATAAGTGTATTTACCCTTAATTTTAGTAGGTAAATAAGACGATTTGCCAATGGAATCAGTATTTCTACTCCTAAAATAAGACAATTAGATAATATTCACTTGAAATAAGACAAAGCAATTTTTTTTTCTTATTTTAAATGTAAATTGTCTTGTTCCATTGGCAAGGTGTCTCCTCAATTCAAGACAAAATTTACTCAATTTAAGCAAAAATAACTCATACAGATTTTTTATTTTTTGCAGTGAAATGGGTTTCAAATGTAATCTCTGACTGTGTGCTTTACACAGTGAGACATTGCCCCGGCCTCTAAAAAAAAAAAAATAATAATAATTACTCAGAAAGTCTTTAAAAAGATATAATGAATGCTGTTCTTTGTGGTCCTTAAACAGAAATTAAATCAGTCCAAAACTTTATGAAAACCTGTAACCAGAAATTGGGTACAAATCTACAATCTATCTCCAATCCATCTTTTATTTAGAGATTATATCACAAATGTGATGTTCAGTAACCTGAAATAACAACCCTGATTTGTAGTTAATGTGATACAAAATGAAACTTGCAATGAGCCTATAAATGTTTTAAATTTGACACCTACCTGCAGACATAAAATACTCCTTTGCAGTATATTCTACCACCATGCAACAACGCCGACTCTAGCGTCATCCTGCTGTGGCTATTGCATCATTTCATACTAACAGACAACTTCTCATAATCACAACAGATAGCATTACCAACACTAGACAGTTTGATAGCTGCACAGCATTGGGAGAGTACAAATGTCACAGCAGGCATATAGGAGCATCTATATGGAAGATTATTGTCACGCAAGACAGATCACACCGAGGAGGGACTATCGCAAGTGTTACAGAACCTCATGACATCTCTGCCTGATATCCAGACATAGGTATAGGTACCCCAAAATAATTCATCAAATGGAAACAGTTTGGTAGGCATGCAGACCACCTATGGGTATGTAAATGAATTAGTTTGCAAGGACTCAGCAGATCTACAGCATAACTGGCAACACATACAGTAACTGATGGCATCTTTTATTTTCTGTCCAAGAAGACAAATTGGGTTTCTTTTTTAATCAAGTCTATAAATTTGGAACAGCAGTAATGCTCAACATAAAACAATAAGTGTCATAAGAGGGATATATAAGAGTATATATACCTATATTTTAAGAACTGACACAGGTAGACAATAAACAGTAAAGTTGACATCACCCAGAAATCTAACTTTTCAAGTTCAAAACGTGTGTTGGCATTGCACTGCAGTTAAAGCCAGCCAGTGTAGAGTGATATAGTGTCTTATTTATTTTTTTGTTTGTTTTTTGCCTGAGCTTTTTGTTAAAACCAGAAAATGGCCCATAAAGCTGCATTCTCATTACCTTCCAATAAATATGAATTGGTGCAATATTTGTGAGTTAGAGACGAGAAAGATGTTTTTTGCGTTCCCTCTGACCGATTTGGTAAGAATTTGACTTTTCCATTGACTCCGGTTGTTATGAAACAAATCAATAATGTCTCTCGTCATAGCTACTCTTGCTGCTGTGATTGGCTAAAAACTCGACATGGGAGACAGGTGCCACTTGAGCTGATTGGGAGAATGTCCCTCCCTTTGCAAAAAAATTTCCACATGGGGCTTTCCAGATGGATAACTGTATTTTAATTTTAATTCTACATAGTATCCATCTGACTTTTTCGAGGTTAGCTTCTCCATAGAGCACAATTTTGGTTCTCCTTCTTCATTAAAGTCATTTGTGGAAGGGTGCTAAGATTAGCCTGCCTTGTTTTCCCCGCACCTGCATCTCATCACCTGATCTCATCATCATCTCAACCACCTGAAATCTATGAGTCTTCACGTTGCATCACCAGTAAATGTTGCTGGTTGTGTAATTTTTACCTACAGTGCAAGAGATCAGGAAACATTGGTAAATGAACCATGTCAAACTATGCTAATGTTGCTAACACTATAACCAAACGAATGTGCATTTTTACAGTACAAGTTAAATTCTCATGCATAACCTCACGAGATAAAAACGGTTATGAAAAGAGGTCTGCCTAAGCTATAATGATTTTTTTTTTCTTAAAATGATGAAAATTAAAAACAGTTTCTCAAAGGTTGGAAATGTGAAATACCAGGTTACAGCTATGTTATGTTTGAAAAACATTCTAAAAACATCTTTTCCACATCCATGTTTACTTTAGCTCTTATGGGTTACAAGAAGGCTAATTGAAAAAGTACAAATCAATCAAGGGATGAAAATAGGCAGGTTGGTTAGTATCAAGGTTCATCAGGAGGTAAAGGTTAAAAAGTATTTTTCATTTTTACATTTTCGAGTGTTTTTTATAGTTAACTCCTGATAACTGAATAGCAGAAGAAGAGCTGTCATAATCAGCTTCCTTAGAAATATTTTTGCAAAAAAAAAACACAATTTATCTCAATAAACTTTTCAGCAGCCTGCCATTAATTCTAATGGCTGTTTTTCTATAATTACAAAAAATGATGATCATTTTGGTCTATAAAACATCAATTGATTATCAATAAAGAAAGTTACAGCCTAACTTTATTAACGAAATAATAAATCTTTTCTGTTACTTCAGCAGAAGCAGTAATATTGCAGGTTTTGTTATTTTAAGTAAAAAAAATAAAATGTGTTAAACCTGTTTTAAGGGAAATTTTAATGTTAAAATATCTGTGAAATTGTGCAGGAGAGTGATTAGGTCCTTAGGTGTAAAAGTCAGGTTCTTTTGTTGTAACCTGAACATTTTACCACAATGAGGCACAAATCAATAAACTGTTGGTAGAAGGAATTGTGAGATTAGTCTGTTTTATCTTGTTGTTCTGTCTTTTAACAAACAAATTCAACCAACGCAGTGAGCAGGGGCTATTGAAACATACGGGCTATTGCCTGTCTGGAAGGGAAGTTGAAAAAGAGGTAAACAGTGAGGTGAGAGGGAATTGACAGCCAGAAAGACAGTGATAGATGGATTAGAGCAAAGGGAGGGGAGGGGGGCAATCCCTCCTTGCTCAAGTGATTTGCTTCCCCCCCCCCAAAGCAGACAGGGAATAGAATCTGATTAGTAAGATGTCAACTGGTGCGAGGCAGCAGAACGAGCCTCGGTTTGGGTGGTAAATGGCACCGGGATAGAACCGGGAAACACATCTCTTCCTTTTCACGCCAGAGAAGACACCGCCTTCTACTCTCCGAGCGTGAAGAATAGCAGAACCACAGGATTCATTTTAGCAAATTCCTATTAGGTGCTTTTAGAGATGCCACTATCTCAAGCCACAGTTACTTTGCCAGGAGGCATAAAGACATGCCTGCAGTGCACGGTTTTACGGCATGACAAGGCAACAGGCTTATCGAATGAAACACATTCAGCTCCTCGGAAAGCCTACGTCGATTGCGGGATTTGTCTTTACTCCATGGCCAAAACATTGTGACAGTGTTTGGGCTTTGATTTATTCCAACAATTAACGAGTGTTTCCTTTGATTAAAGAAAGAACGACACAGACGGAGAACAGGACCAGAACAGAAAGCAGGGAGAGATACAGCAGAAGCACACAGAAAAGTTACAAGCTGAGTCAATTTCTATTCCAATAGCTTAAAGGGGTACATTAAGCTTTATCACATCATACAGCCCCCCTGAAACAATCTGTATGCAAATAAAGCCTTGCATATGGTTGAAGCTGTTTGTAGCTCTGCCGGCAAGATTTTCTACGTAGTCAGTGACTTTTGTGCTTCGCAGATGTTCTTTAATCTGTAAGGGATGCTGGCGTTTGGAGCAATCCACTCTGGAGCATGTCTTTAAAACAGTCTATTTGATATGTCTTAATGTTATTGCACTTCCACAAATTGAGCACTGGGCCGTTTAATTCAATCAAAACTCAGCAAATTAACGCATTTAATGCCTCTGCGGATTAAAAGCTAATTGTTTGTGCCGTGCTCTCAGAGTGTTTAAACAGTTTAACAGAAGATTTCCAGCAGTAGGTCAGCGATTCCTTTAACTGAGACGCCTCGCAAAGTTACTCTGCTGAAAAAAGAGACACAGAAGTCCTGTTGACGAGTATCTAATCGCTGAGAACGACGTTTGTCATTGGGGACATAATTACCATAAGATGAACAAGAAGCTAATGTAGCTTTCTTTCTTTTTTTCTCCTTTTTTTTTTAACCAAATAATTAATGAAACATAAAGTAGTGTAATTATTTAAACTATGCACACATGTGGTTTCTAAGTGAGATGCGGACGACCAAAACTTGTTGGTCACTTATTGGTTACAGTACTGGTACTATAAGCTCTTCTTTTCTTCCTCCAAATAAAAAAACTTTTTTACACAAAGCCATCTTAATGTTACTGATTATCAGGCTCTATATTAACCCTGGGAACTTTATAGACACATCAGCCTGTTTAGGAATGTTTTTCAACGTTTTCCAGGCCAAGGGCCCCCAAACTGATGGCGAGATGGAGCGGGGACCCCCAATTTTATATATATAAATATATATATATATATATATATATATATATATATATATATATATATATATATATATATATATAGTAGGGATGCACGATATTGGGATTTTGGCCGATATCCGATATTTTAAAACTCATGTAGCCGATAACCGATATCGATACCGATGTTAAAGCTGGACAAAAATAAGTAGTCATTGAAAATACACTTTGAAAAATAATATACTCAAATATATTTTCATATGCTGATATCAAATTGATTTTTAAAAACGGGGTATCGATCGATTTTACTTTCAAAATCTTTGTGAAATTTCATTGTTCTGTTACAAACTCTCGTGATATTTTGCAAATTCTTGTGAGATTTTTTTAGTAAAATAGATCGATGCCGCGTCAATATATCAACATATAAAAATATGGCAAAATTTTGTGAATTTTCGGGGGATTTCGTAGCATAACGATGACATATAGCAATATTTCATTAGTAAAAGAGATTGATATGGTGTTTTTAAATGGCAATATATCAGCATATGAAGATATTGGGGTATTTTAATGTATCAATATTTTTTCCCTCGTCTTTAGAAGTTTTTAAGTCTGTAAAAAAGAAGTTTTTGAGGAAGAAGAAGAAGTAGTATATATATATATTTTTTAAGACTTTAGAAACTCAGAAGCTGATCAAATATCGGGTTAAATATCGGTGGGGTGGCCGATACAGGCCGATATTCAGTTTTAAGGCCGATACCAATAGGGGGCCGATTATATCGTGCATCCCTAATATATAGTATGAAATAGTGTTCTATCAAACTGGTCCTATAGTCACTCCTTTCCTATAGATTACTTTCCTTAGAGTAATCTAAGGAAAGTAATCCCTCCCTGGGATTATTAAGATGTTTCTGATTCCTTGGTGTTGTGAATGAAACGGTGCCCAGCTTGAGCTCCTGTGTGTCGCTATGTGTGCATTGATGACTGAAAGACATCTTCTGCCTCCATTTATCTGTTTACTACAGTCTTTTGAATTCATGTTAATGTGGATTTAAAGATATTTCAATTAGTAGAAAAAATAGACGGAGAAATCTAAAAACAAAAACAAAGATTCTTATCAAACAAAACTTTCGCGACCCCCATGCAGTACCTCTGTGGATCCCCTAGGGGCCACAGACCCCCTGTTGAAGACCTCCACTCTAAACCAAACTGCCTGAAAACTGGAAATCCAGCTTCTATAAAGAGTTAATTGTGTCTAAATACAATTCTTTTATAAAAGCCAGAGAGCCAACATAAGGTACATATGTTGTACATATCCAGTCCAAGTTGCTTTGAGCTAAAAAAAGAAAGAATGACATTGCTCTACGATAATAGCCTGATTAATGTCATATTACACTGTTCACAGATCCTATTAATGTACCACGTTTAAACAGCAACTGATTTAGATAGTTCTAGGTTTAAACCAAAAGACTTATTAATGTTTTATCGTAATTGATTTTTTAAAATATATCAATTCAACTGTTGATTTATTTTAGTCTTTTTTATATCTAGCTATCTCTATTAAAATTTTTTGTCACTTTGTACAAAATTTATATCTTTTTTTTATTATAGAAATTAAATAAATTAAATAAAATAAGTAATAATAAAAAAAGATGATTATTTTTTTGAGTCTATGCTAATGTTAAGATAGTAAAATGGTCATTAATATAAAAATGGCTGAATTAACTAGGCTGCTTTAGCCTAGTTAATCGAGAAGCGCGACAGTTTAGTCTAAAGAACATGGCGGCTTCAGCCGATGAAACTAGCGTTAGCGTGGCTATCGAGCAAGTTTTATCAGAATTACAGAGTATTTCTTCACTGAAAGAAGAGCAAAACACTGCTCTGGAGGCTTTTCTTAGAGGAAAAGATGTTTTTGCTCTTCTCCCGACTGGCTTGTGGTTGTGTTTTCGTCGTCGCTCTGTTAGTACGTCATATGCCTCGTTGATCTGATTGGTTTATTTGGCCCGTCTATCACCAACATAGGCCAATCAGCTAACCAGTATTTTCACCCCTTCCCAAAATTACTTCAACAGAAGGTTTCCAGATGGATATGCGGAGCAAATCCATCTGGCGGAGTCAGGTTAGTTCTATCCCACTTTTACACACCTTTTCTGTTTGAGGTACTTCAAATACGAGTCTGTTCAAACAGCTGACTTAAATCTGACCTACATATTAACTGAAACGAAACTATTGCTCATCAGAATTAAACATGCCTTCAAAAAACACTTTCATTCAGACTGTTTTCATCTATTCAGTAGATTTTCCAAAACAATTAGAAGTACACAGGACTCCTTCGACAGCTACATAGAAGGCCTGAAATAGAATCAACCCTGCCTGACTTTCCCCCTCCCCTACTTACTGACTTCTGTTGCGGTTACTGTGATGTTGTGCCACATGTCTGTCTCCCGGTCCAGTGGTTTGGCCAGCGTGATCTTCCCATCGTCCACGTTGATGTTGAACTGCCTCTCCAGATCTGTGTGCCGATCAATGAAGTACCTGGCAAGACAAACAAACATCAGAAATTCGAGCCGAATTGCTAGAGCAAGCAGCTCCACTGAAGCGTCTTCTGAGGTCCTCTGGGTGCCGTGGCAAACAGAGCCCCTATTCATCAAACGAAACCTGTAGATCAATGCGCATTTAAACGCTTACAAATCAATAATTATCATCAGAGGAATAATTACAGCCTTCACATGAGCAGCACACCAGCCTAATAACGTCTCTGAGCCCTCCATTTCAAATCTCTCATACAGACAAACAGAGCTAAGCCACCATTAGCACATGTGAGTTTATGTCAAGGTGAGAGATGTGCTGCTGTTAACCCTGTTTGGCATTTCCCAACACTCAATGGCTCCCACAGGCTTAGGATTAATAAGTTAGGATCGCTAAGTGTCACATACAACACAACAGGATGCATGTGCATGGATGCAAGGGGTTGGCAGGGATGAGTAATCAGGGATATATTGGAGGTTAACCATGTCTTCGGTGGTAACAGTATCTATGTTTCGATTTTTTGCAGAAATATGTTTGTTTTTCGAAGGGGCTGATATGGAATCCTCACATTTTGATAAGCTTGACTGAAAATTCCCTGGTTTCAAATTATATAGAGAAAAAATTTGGAATAAAGTGTAACACAAGATGCAAATTATTTATTAAAGGAGTAACAAGCATCCCTTTTATCAGGGGCGCCGCCAGGAATTTGGGGCCCCTTGAAAGACATTGATACTGGGCCCCACCCCAAAAAAATAGCATGTAAGCTTTTAAATTGCTATAAGGATGCATTGATTTGTTTCATTCATGTAAAATGACGAGTGCGTGGCACTTAAGCCCCGGAATGAGCAAACTGACGGTGACAGACGAGGAGATCTGATGCGATGCAGAATGGAGGTTCGATATTCATGCTTTGCTTCACTGTTTACTCCTTAAAAATGAATGAAAACACAAAAATAATTGATTTCGCTGCTGGATTTTCTTTTTATATTTATATTTTATTCTTATTTTTTATCTTTATTATATTGTTTTATTCTAATTTTTTATCTTTATTATATTGTTTTATTCTTATTTTTGTATCTTTATTATATTGTATAGTTGGATGTGTGTATATATCATGTAAAACTGTAACTGGAGCGTGTAACAAAAGTAATTTCCCTCTGGGATTATGGGACAAATCTTTTCTTCTTCTTTTGGGGCCGCCCTCAGTCAAGGGCCCTAAGAATCTTCCTAACTCCCCCCCTTCCATACGGCACCCCTGCTTTTTATGCAAAGTCCAGCAGGAAAAACACAGAGGTTCTGACTTTTATGGTAAACAAACAATACCAAGTTTTAGATGTGACTTTTGTACACAAATAAAGCCAAAAATATGGAATGATCATTAAACTGTTTTGCTTATACAGTAAAGTAGCTCAACGCTTCCCATCAGCCCTTCAGCACATCTGTCAGAATACAACATTTGAAAAGTTTTTAATTGTTTTTTTTTTATTTGGATTTTGTTTTTTTTTACTGGTATGCAGAATATTTCTGTTGAACATTGACATTTAGAAACAGCCACAGCTTATTATGCTAACCCTCCTTCACAAAAACATCTCCCCATCAATAATCAATAAAATGTCAGGAGTTAAACTTTATTCTTTTATTTCATAAAGATCGATATTGTGTTTTTTTTTTATGATAAATTGAATTCCTTTTAAGATCTCCTTTTGAAATAAATAGTATTCATTATGACATTTGATCAGATCAATAGTTTCTTCAACATGTTTTCTCTTCTTAGACCATAGACTTCCTCCCTCTTTTGAAACAGATATAACACGTTACCTTGCAATATTTTATGATTCACTTTGTATATAAAGACAGCTGCCTTTAAAATAACTAAATTATAAAACATTATTGCTTTGAATTGACTACATGTTGCATTTGTTGTTTATACAGAGCCTGATTCACTATTCAAATTGCTTTTATTTCTGTAGAATACAATTAGGGTTAGTGTTAGATTCATATGCATGCCACACTACAGGTCATAGCATATATGGTACAATGAGAGATGAATATAGAGTGTAGAATGTGGTTATAGTTAAAATTCATGCCTGCTAGCAGAAAGAGAAAATATTTGGACATATTTTCAGAAATATCACGTTAAGTTAGAGCTGTGCTGTTTGGAAATTAAAGCAAAAAACCTCACATTGTAGCTCCTTCTCTTCATCTTTAGCGAGTTCAACATTAAGAACACTATCAAGGGTAGAAAAGGATCTGTAGCCTGCTGTGCTGAATCACTTCGAGCTTTCGGCCTTACGGACATCATTATGCGGCGGTCAAGCACATGATTGATGCTGGTCAAAATGAGACTACAGCCTTCCAGGAAAGAATTACAAAAAACATAAATTACTTCAATGTAGCAAGCGGCTGACGCTCTCCATTGTCACACCCAAAACATATGAAGGTGAGGACCTTTGCATGGATTCAATCTGTCACACAAAATAATGTGTTTGTGTTAAACTGTGTGACGTGGGTTGTGCCCATACGTCCTGTCAACCAGGGAATTGTGGGCAACCATGTAGCTCCCAACTAGCCTCGTGAGACCATCCTGATCTCACGAGCTTTCAAGGTTTCACTCGCAGATCAGTCTGGAGACTCTCCGTTAAAGAAAAAATGGAGCCGTTCACCAAACGAACGTCCAATCAGCGTTGGCTTTGAGGCGGGTTGAGGTGTGACGCAACGAGAAGCGCGACAGTTCAGTCTAAAGAACATGGCGGCTTCAGCCGATGAAACTAGCGTTAGCGTGGCTATTGAGCAAGTTTTATCGGAATTACAGAGTATTTCTTGACTGAAAGAAGAGCAAAACACTGCTCTGGAGGCTTTTCTCAGAGGAAAAGATGTTTTTGCTCTTCTCCCGACTGGTTTCGGCAAGAGTAGCCTGGCTTCTGGTTGTGTTTTCGTCGTTGCTCTGTTAGTACGTCATATGCTTCGTTGATCTGATTGGTTTATTTGACCCGTCTATCACCAACATAGGCCAATCAGCTAACCAGTATTTTCACCCCTTCCCAAAATTACTTCAACGGAAGGTTTCCAGATGGCGGACTCAGGTTAGCTCCCAACAGCAGCTACAGACGTGAAGAGGTCCCCATGCTAACTGCATTAGCACAAGGAAGCAATTCCTTCCCAACTGCCAACCCTATTCAGACAGAGCCACTCGGCTACTAGCACGCTTCCGCCATGGCTTACGGGTCCTTACCCATTTGAGGTTTATCGGACTGAGCCGACCACTTTTCCAAAAAGCCACAGTTGCCCAAGTGGGCAAACTAGAAAAAGTGTGTCTGGTGCACAGCTGAGCTCAATGCAACTTGGCTAATCTAGCAGACAGCCCAACTTTATCAACTGTGTGATAGAACACAGGGCCATTTTCTCAATTAAGGTTTTCTAAATGATTTTGATCTATGAGCATTTCCTTTTTAAGTCTGAGACAAAAACAAGAAGGCAGCACATAAACTCTCAGCAGAAGACATTGAAGCAAAGGACATGTAATTGTAATGCCCCCCCCCCCCAAAAAAAGGAGGATGCTTCCAGAGCGACTTGAAGGTGTGAAATCGTTCTTTCATGTAGCAGCATGCATGGCACCAATTCCTAGGACAAGCCCACACAAAACCAGCCAGAAAAGAATCTGTCAATATGGGTCATCTTTGGTTTCCACACGTCGTGTGCGACTGTCACAAAACAGCCTACTCACCACTCAAAAAAAACGCCCAAAACCACAGGGCTGCAGTGATTCACGTGCGCTAATTACAGCGTGTTCTGCACACCGGTTTCCATACCTCGGGGATAGACTGTCTCGGATCATCTCGCCTTTCTCACTTTCATGTCCTCCTTCTCAATCGTCACCCTTTTTCTGTTCTATCCAGCTGGATCTTTAAGCTCTTTCCAATGAAATCCCACCACCGCCACTACTCACACACCTCTAACACTTTCACCATGCTCATCTGGTTTCCACTTTTTGTCCTTCACCCTGGGTCTCATACCATCTCACGCAGGAACTGCTCATCCCTATCCGTGCAGACTTGTTGGCAGGGATTCTGCTGTATTTTAAATAAAAAAAAGGTTTAAGGTGGCTGGAACAGAGAAGAAAAATGGAGAAATAACAGCAGACACACTCCCAACAAACCGTTTATGTGAAGGAGGGAGCTGCTTATGAAAAAACGACAGGGAATGAAATAAATAAACCACTGGCCCAGATTCCAATTGTTGGGTAGATGTACCGAGGTGTGACATTTCCATTTTTGAGATGAAATGGTGTAAAATCCTCTAGACGGCAAGGCTGGCAGAGGTCCACAATGGCCCCCTTTCCCTCTGTCTGCGTCCCCCACCCCCACTTCTCTGCAGACCCAGAGCACTTTCAAGACAGGCAGACAGCAGCAAACCACCTGGGAACAGCTGCTCTCCTGCAGACTGAGTGTATCCCAGTCAAACTCTGACAGCCTCACGTGGAGGCAAGGAGACAGACCCTGAAATGTTCTGCCACCTGTCACTCAAACTGACAAAGTGACGTGCAAAGAATGAGATGCACATTCCAAAAAAAAAAAAAAGAAAAGATTTTCGATGTGGGACGCGACTTTCCTGACTCTGCTGGTGTGCCTTGTTGCCTCTTTGCCTTATCTCTGGAGCCATTAAAAGCCCATCGGTGAGAGTGTTAAGCGTCACGCTGACGCAGCTGAGGCCAATTCTGTTCCCTCGTATGACTGGGCATAGCTTAGAATATTCACTCCCATTATAAGGCAGCTAAATCAGAGGGGATCACTGTTACAGAGGCTGTTCTTTGCATTAAAAGCTGTAACCACTGAGACGATTAATATTTTTTTTATTTACATTTCATTGCACATTTTTTTTCTCTTAAACTGCTTGTCAGTTAAACAACATTTCCAAGATGTTTTCTCTGTTGGAGCTTCTGTAGGTTACAATCTTTAAGCCTCATTAACTATACTGTCTGTCAGCTTCACACTTAGTTATTTGTATAT